GGAGCAAAAATGTACAGTATATAGCTGATATCGTGAAGGGCGCTTTGGGCATTATGAATTGGGCAGTGGGAAGCTATTGTTTGGTGTTCACTAAAGCAAATCATTGCAGTGAATTTCGTATACCCAAATGCGTAATTGCCAATGACCAATTGCCAAAGCAACCTTTATTGAATTAGGTCTATTCATCGCCGTTGCTACAACTCTCTATTAAGCCCCAGTATCCACATACAAATGCTCCAGACTGATCTCCTTACATTTCGTTTAAGAATGAGTTGAGAGAATTTGATAAAAGATCAAGGCATTTTTACTTGGGTGATCAATTTAATAATTCTCATAACTTATCTGTTGACAATGTATGGATATTGTTAGGAGAAACTTGACCTTGGTCACTATTGGCACTTAAAGGGTTAATGAGGATTTATCCTTTTTTGCAGCGAAGATAAATGGTGAGCCAACCACTGTCCCCACGATGAGACACGTGATTAGCCTAAATTTTCCAGTGCCCTCAAGAAGTTTTCAAACTGAATTGGTGGATAATATTAAACATCTTAAATTTGATATCTCTGATTAAATGTTGTTACTATTTTTTCACTTTGCTCAAATATATTTCCTTCCGGAATGGTGAACTGAAAAGCCAATGGGTACGTTGTTGCTGGCGAGCCTTATGCGAGCCAGCACACTATTCTCTACAATAGCGACAGAAAAAGCCAAAATTTGTCGGATGTAAGATCAGAAGCATGCTCAGTCGATTGGTTTTCTTATTATCCGGGTTATTCACTCCTGCGCGATGACATCACGTAAAACGCACGTGGACGAGATGGAAGAAATAAAGTAAATTTCAAATGGGCGAGCAGATATCGATTTTTAACGAGGCGTCCGTTCAGTAGTTGCCTTTTCATGATTTTTTAGATGTCTTTATTTGCTTGTGAAGTACTCATCAACGTCTCGATCAAGAGCATTTTAGTGATGGATCTCGCGGAAGAGAGAAGTTTATATGTGTTTGGCTGCTCTATTTGGCGATTCGCGAATACTGAAATGGAGGTGTAAGATATCGATCAAATCCTCCTTCATGGAGAGAGTTTTTTCTCTGTGCATTTAGCAGGAGTGATGAGCCAGGCAGAAATTCTTCTCTTCGGAGTGAACTGCAGACTCTAGCTTGCTGGTGATAAAAGAGAGGAAACGTGCGAAGCAAAGCGGCTTTCAAAGTATTCTTCGCCCGCTGAGGCGTTAAATTCTCTACCGGTTGAGGTAAATAATTCAGCTGGTAATTTGATCATGAGTCACATTTGTCCTTTGAGGCGAAGAAAAGCTCAGAACCATATGGATATCAAAATGTGTATCGTTCTTTGAAGCTTACCCCGGGCTCACCATTCAGACCATTCAACAGTAAAATTATTTGACTCATGTCGCGTTGGCAAGCGCCTGCTACGCAGGCTACCTTCGGGTCCAATTGTTTTTAAACCTTTAAGTCAAAAGAAAACTTTTCGAGCACCAAATTAAGCTTGTTAATATCCATGCGTCGATATCTTTACACCTCCATTCGTGATTCGGCAAAAACTGTTGACATAGTAGAGCAGTCAAACTCTTAAAAGTATCTTGTCTTCCTCGAGATTCATCCCTTAATCGTTCGTGACCTCGATGAAATTATTTCCTTAGGCAAATAAAAAAAAAAATCTAAAAAATATAAGCAAGCAATTACTAAAAACTCAGGCCACGTGTATCATCTGCTTGCACAGGTAGCCCAAGCTTGAAATATGAGGATCGGCGAGCATCGGCATTGTTGCGTAACATTCAAAATATAAGGATTTCTAAGGGAAAAGAACCTGTCGAACCTATCGTTTCTGTAACCTACGAAAATGAAAGGATTTCAAAAAAAAAAAACTTACCTTACTTAAAATGTGTGTTACGTCTCTCCTGTGTGGTCCACGGGCCGATTTATGGCCGTTTTATGGGTTTTTATGTAAACGGTTTTCTCTCTATATAAAGGTTTAGACTGATTCACCGAAGGAAAACGGCCGTAAATTCGCTCCAACTGCTCCAGTCGCCTTCAAATTCCGCCTAGGTAACACACTATAGTTCTCCTTTCCACTCGTTATCTTGCTTCAAGACGCCTTTGCACCGTGAGCGAAAGGTCACAAATCTCTGCAACCTTTCCCCGGAGGGGGGGTACTCCGCATGTGAAAGGGGTGGGGATGCTCGTCGGAAATTCTGAATTAAAGCCCTAAAGGAGACCGATCTGGGCGCGGCCCAAGCTTTTTTTGACCCCTAAAAGAGACCATGTTAAAACACAGACAAATGAGAAAACTTGGACTATAGGAATGGAGTAAATAAAACGCATTAAAAATATAAATATCAAATATATATTTTCATATTTTTTCGCGTGCAACCTTAAACGAGACCTTCACGGCTAAATATGATGGCGTTTGCCCAGAACACCCTAAGTGAGACCAAAATCCGAAATTTACACCCCTAAGCGAGACGAGCATCCCCACCACTTTCATATGCGGAGTCCTCCCCCCGGGAACCTTTCCCGTCTGAAGCCATCGACTGAACTTCGGCTTGAACTCCGCGTTACCGCTGAAAGATAGCGACACGGCCTGAGACTCAAATTACTCACACTCGGGGTGGGAGACAGTCTCTTGCTCCCGTTGAGAAAACTGCCCGGAAAACTGACTTCGCGAAGTTTCAAACCGGTGCAGGAGCCCATGACCGGTGTCATTTCAGTCTAGAATTTTTAAGTTGAGTGAACTGGAGCGAAAGAGTGCCTGGTTAAGGCTTACATAACAACCTAAATGGTTAGCAAAACACTACTTTTTTCGTGGTTCGATAAACAACAGGATTCCGCATGGAATAGACAACAAACTGAATGAAACGTAGTGCACAAATTATCACTCTCTTATCTTCAAAAATCGGCCTATGGTTCAATGCCATTAGAGCCCGCTGAAACTAGACCTAGATCCAATTTCGTGAGTCGAGAGTTGCTTTTCCAAGGTACAATCAGCTAAGCTAAACACCGACGAAATAATATTAATGGCTGGCACAGAGTATTTTGGCCAAACCGCAGTTCAACCACGCGATCACATACCTGTCAACGCCATGCGGAAGTCACACAATCACACACTTTCGCGGCACTGGTAAGACTATCCACAACCACGCATGATCTTCTCACGTTTGTCATAAGCGAAATATCGTCGAATAACTCGGAAAAACTCAGCCTATTGCCAGATAAACACCTCTGGACTTTTCTATTACACTCGTCTTATTCAAGTTCCCGGATGTACAGTCACACGCTCGGCGGATAAACTTAGCCTTGTTTTCACACCAGTCTTGGCCCGGGTCAAAGTTCACCTGCAATTTTGCTCTCACCTAATTCATTTGACTCCTAAGAGCCTGTTCCCGAGGCCAAAGACTTAGTGGTCAGCTTAGAAAAGCGAACAATATCGTACCTTTCTGTCTCAGCCCTGATCAGTGTGATTGATCCGTTTAGCCAAATGAAACGAGAATATAATACGATATTGGACGATGCAGACTCTGCGAATCGTAATAACTTTGTCCCATCTCAGAGCTTTACATGACGCTCTCCGGAAAACGTTTCTCAAGGTGACCAGTATCTAACACTAAACTGCTAAACGGCACCGAAACCAGCTTTAGGCGCGCACTTATTTCAAATAACTGTCACTTGTGTTAAACAAAGAATTGTGGGTAGCGAAAAAAACGGGGGGGGAAAAGTAATTCTTTCTACATCCACGTCTACACAAATCCCTAACCACAAAACAAGCGAAAAAGAAATGACATAAGCAAACAACACAGTAAACAAGCTATTAGACTGGGGAAGTTAAGAAAAAGTACAAAATGTTTGCTAACCCGGTTTTCATAACTCCAGGTATAAGTACTTTCCTTAATATACGCGTGAGTTACTAGAGTGCCTCCTTGGGATTTCGCCTTCTGGGCGAAATCCCTGCAGGGGCAATAATCGCTATTTAAATATGTCCACGCAGTAACGCCTTAGATTTGGGCGGAATGCAAAACAGTTAGTCAGTTAGTTAGTTCGTACGCTCGTTAGTTAGTAGGTTAGTTTGTTCAACCAACTGACCAACTAATCAGACTAACTAACGACTGAACTACCTAACCAAGTTGGTAAGTTAGTTCGTTAGTTAGTTAGTTACTTAGTCAGACTTAGTTAGTTAGCTAATGAGCAAAATTGTAAACAATAGCGTCATCAAATCAAATCCTTTATTTTGACACGCAACACCCAGGAGCACTAAAGTTCTCGTTAAAACGTGTACGTGTGTACAAATTAGAAAATTAAAAATTTTAAAAAAAAAATTATGCTCGCAACCTATACATTACTACTGTAAAAATACTAACTATAAATAGATCTACAAAATGGCTAAAAGCAGAATCTAAAACTAAAGCTATTTACAAAATTTACAAGCACTACACCCTAAGCCATGTGAGCTTTAAGAGATTGCTTAGATGACGCAATGTCTTGTGATTCTCTAACTTTTGGAGGTAACACATTCCAAAGTTTGCTGGCTTAAAATGTAAAGGATCGATGCATAAACTCCAGATTAAAGGGAGGTAGATCTAGCCTTGTGCTAAGCCCAAGTAAGTTGTACGGTACATCCTTAAAATTAAAAAATTCACTGATATAAGGTGCCCCCTTGTCATACAAGCATCGGACGGTATAACATAACTAAAGATTGGAATTGCCTAAGTCTCTCCAAGGACTTGATATCAGCCATCTTGAGAAGGAAGTCATATGACACAGACTTCGAATAGCCTAATATAGTTCTTAACATAAAATAATTAGTTGTCTCTATTTTGGTAGTCTCTGCATTGCCTACTCCCAGTAAAAGGGGACTAAAGTACTCTAGGTGAGGGAGAACATAAGCCTTGTAGAGACGAACTAATACGTCCTTAGAAATGAACTTACGTATTCTCCGCAGAGCCGAAGCCTTTGCGCAGGCCTTATTCAGCTGTTCATGTGTGTGTTTCGCCTATAATCGGGTCACTATGGATGTCAAAGGAGTAGTTGCTTGTCTTGCACCATTGCAAGCAGTGCTGACTGCAGGTGAAAGCTTCGGTGAACTCGCTGTAATATGCTGATCTCCACTTTCCGTACAGGGCTTTAACTGAGAACCCCTACACGTTGCGGCAGCCGAGAAACTGGTGTCATTTATCCTCGGAGTAGGAAATAGACTCAAACCCCGACTTGTAGCCTCGATATGTCTCATTCGTTTTCTCGACAATTTCTCCAACGCTTCTTTGAATAACGGCATCCTAAAGCTGTACACGAATGGGTTAACCAAAGAATTGGCAAGAATTAAAACATCGACCGTCCACTTCATGTATGGGTGAAAATTACAGTGGCAGATGTACATACCTATGAAAAGAGCAAACGCTGGCAGCCAAAACAGAAGCGACAAAGCGATCACCACGAAGAGAGTCCTTGAAAGTCGCACGTTGTGCTGAGTGGTTTGACGGCTGTTGACAACAGCTACTTCGGGTGCAGTGCTACTCAATCGTGCTCGTATTTTGAGGTAGCTCGCACAAATCACCAGAATAGAGATGAAAAGGCAAATATGTACAGCAACATAAAGAGTCCTCAGCTCCATCTTTTGGTCGATATAATACATAAGAACCAGCAGACCAAATATGAAAATTCCTACAGCCCATACGACGACAATACTGTAGATGTAAACGCGAGTGCTAGCAACACGATGACGCAACGGTTTTAACACAGCAAAAGCGCGCTCGAGCGAAATGAGGGCGAGAAAAAACACTGATGCACTTAATGCAAAAAGTTGCATTGCTTCTGGTAGATCAGTTTCACTTTTTCCCTTCAGGGGCTTTCTTTCGTTCATTCCCGTCTTTTTTGACTGTTTTGACGTTGTCGCCGTCATTTCATGGAACTTGCTCGTCCCTAGAACTATGGGCTCTGTAATACCCACAAATAGGTCAGCAACGGCCAGATTTATCAAGAGATAACAAGTTCTTTTTATGTGCGATGTCCGAGTCAAAGTTGAGAAAACAAAGATGGTGAACGCGTTTCCAAAGATGATCAATGTGCAGACTCTGCGAATCGTAATAACTTTGTCCCATCTCAGAGCTTTACATGACGCTCTCCGGAAAACGTTTCTCAAGGTGACCAGTATCTAACACTAAACTGCTAAACGGCACCGAAACCAGCTTTAGGCGCGCACTTATTTCAAATAACTGTCACTTGTGTTAAACAAAGAATTGTGGGTAGCGAAAAAAACGGGGGGGGAAAAGTAATTCTTTCTACATCCACGTCTACACAAATCCCTAACCACAAAACAAGCGAAAAAGAAATGACATAAGCAAACAACACAGTAAACAAGCTATTAGACTGGGGAAGTTAAGAAAAAGTACAAAATGTTTGCTAACCCGGTTTTCATAACTCCAGGTATAAGTACTTTCCTTAATATACGCGTGAGTTACTAGAGTGCCTCCTTGGGATTTCGCCTTCTGGGCGAAATCCCTGCAGGGGCAATAATCGCTATTTAAATATGTCCACGCAGTAACGCCTTAGATTTGGGCGGAATGCAAAACAGTTAGTCAGTTAGTTAGTTCGTACGCTCGTTAGTTAGTAGGTTAGTTTGTTCAACCAACTGACCAACTAATCAGACTAACTAACGACTGAACTACCTAACCAAGTTGGTAAGTTAGTTCGTTAGTTAGTTAGTTACTTAGTCAGACTTAGTTAGTTAGCTAATGAGCAAAATTGTAAACAATAGCGTCATCAAATCAAATCCTTTATTTTGACACGCAACACCCAGGAGCACTAAAGTTCTCGTTAAAACGTGTACGTGTGTACAAATTAGAAAATTAAAAATTTTAAAAAAAAAATTATGCTCGCAACCTATACATTACTACTGTAAAAATACTAACTATAAATAGATCTACAAAATGGCTAAAAGCAGAATCTAAAACTAAAGCTATTTACAAAATTTACAAGCACTACACCCTAAGCCATGTGAGCTTTAAGAGATTGCTTAGATGACGCAATGTCTTGTGATTCTCTAACTTTTGGAGGTAACACATTCCAAAGTTTGCTGGCTTAAAATGTAAAGGATCGATGCATAAACTCCAGATTAAAGGGAGGTAGATCTAGCCTTGTGCTAAGCCCAAGTAAGTTGTACGGTACATCCTTAAAATTAAAAAATTCACTGATATAAGGTGCCCCCTTGTCATACAAGCATCGGACGGTATAACATAACTAAAGATTGGAATTGCCTAAGTCTCTCCAAGGACTTGATATCAGCCATCTTGAGGAGGAAGTCATATGACACAGACTTCGAATAGCCTAATATAGTTCTTAACATAAAATAATTAGTTGTCTCTATTTTGGTAGTCTCTGCATTGCCTACTCCCAGTAAAAGGGGACTAAAGTACTCTAGGTGAGGGAGAACATAAGCCTTGTAGAGACGAACTAATACGTCCTTAGAAATGAACTTACGTATTCTCCGCAGAGCCGAAGCCTTTGCGCAGGCCTTATTCAGCTGTTCATGTGTGTGTTTCGCCTATAATCGGGTCACTATGGATGTCAAAGGAGTAGTTGCTTGTCTTGCACCATTGCAAGCAGTGCTGACTGCAGGTGAAAGCTTCGGTGAACTCGCTGTAATATGCTGATCTCCACTTTCCGTACAGGGCTTTAACTGAGAACCCCTACACGTTGCGGCAGCCGAGAAACTGGTGTCATTTATCCTCGGAGTAGGAAATAGACTCAAACCCCGACTTGTAGCCTCGATATGTCTCATTCGTTTTCTCGACAATTTCTCCAACGCTTCTTTGAATAACGGCATCCTAAAGCTGTACACGAATGGGTTAACCAAAGAATTGGCAAGAATTAAAACATCGACCGTCCACTTCATGTATGGGTGAAAATTACAGTGGCAGATGTACATACCTATGAAAAGAGCAAACGCTGGCAGCCAAAACAGAAGCGACAAAGCGATCACCACGAAGAGAGTCCTTGAAAGTCGCACGTTGTGCTGAGTGGTTTGACGGCTGTTGACAACAGCTACTTCGGGTGCAGTGCTACTCAATCGTGCTCGTATTTTGAGGTAGCTCGCACAAATCACCAGAATAGAGATGAAAAGGCAAATATGTACAGCAACATAAAGAGTCCTCAGCTCCATCTTTTGGTCGATATAATACATAAGAACCAGCAGACCAAATATGAAAATTCCTACAGCCCATACGACGACAATACTGTAGATGTAAACGCGAGTGCTAGCAACACGATGACGCAACGGTTTTAACACAGCAAAAGCGCGCTCGAGCGAAATGAGGGCGAGAAAAAACACTGATGCACTTAATGCAAAAAGTTGCATTGCTTCTGGTAGATCAGTTTCACTTTTTCCCTTCAGGGGCTTTCTTTCGTTCATTCCCGTCTTTTTTGACTGTTTTGACGTTGTCGCCGTCATTTCATGGAACTTGCTCGTCCCTAGAACTATGGGCTCTGTAATACCCACAAATAGGTCAGCAACGGCCAGATTTATCAAGAGATAACAAGTTCTTTTTATGTGCGATGTCCGAGTCAAAGTTGAGAAAACAAAGATGGTGAACGCGTTTCCAAAGATGATCAATGCAGTCTCCACTGCATAGACAACAACGAAGATAATCGCCACATCGTTTGCCAACATTTTCCTTACTCCATCTCATCAGGTATCGGCAACAAATTGCGATATCACACCACTGCAACGTTTTAGTTCAAGTCAATTAAAGTATTTGTAATGCCCAGCTGGTAACACCCAACTGCGTTTTTTTTTCCTTATCTTTTTTTTTGTGTGTGTTCTTTCAACAATGATGCTGATGATATTGATATGCAACTTGGCGGTGTTGTATACATGTACCGTATATTTAAATTGCCTTCAACGGTTGTTTGACCATATGAATAATATCTTGCTCACTCAGCAACAGCCTTCTTAATGCTCGCTGTAGCACTTCATTTAGTGTGATCTGTCTTCAATCTTATGGGTACAAAGAAACAAAAACAGTTTTAAGTTCAACTGTCAACGGAGCAGAAAGACTGAAGTTAAAGAGAGAATGTTAGGTGCCTCTTATGGTAATATCATGTCCTCACATTTCCGATTTAAATTGTGTGATAAATCATGCCAAGGCGAAAATTTGATCGATTAGGTTTGAGTTCACTCTATTGTTCCTTTTTTTTTACCAATGAAAATAAAAAGAAAGAATAAAAAGGTTTGAATGTTACTTTTATCAAGATGTTTTTTTCACACGTGTAAAAAAAAATCAGTAATAATATTGCTCTTCAAAACATCCTAAACCGTTTCCTTAAAATTATGCTTTTGACTTTCAATTTTTTTAAAGTAACGAGATAAAGAAAATCATGTCGTTGGGTGACGACATGTCACAAGAACGAAAAATACAAAGGGAAGTCTAAGACATGCCCTATCACCGATGCGTCATTTCCGATTGTCTGTCAGAATCATAATCAGTACCATTTTCAATTATCAACGAGCGTCAGAAATGCTGATTGTAAATGAAACATAATTTTTAGCGAACTGTTCTAGTAAGGACCACTGTGGACAAACTGTAGCGAGGGAAAGCCGGATCTTAAAGTAGATCAGGCGGATCAGCAATATAATAGAATAACACCCAGTTGATGGGTTATTTATTTTCCCAATATTTCGGTTAGGCAAAACTAATTTTGGGCAAATAAGTTACTCATTCGTGGCTGTCCTATCAGCCTTGCCTTCAATTTTGGGTATCATAATTTTTCACGACAGGCGGAAAAAAGGCCGCAATGATTAGAACGATCGAAACAACGCTTTTGGAATAACTCAGTAATACTGCTAGGGCAAGAGATTTAAGGACATCTAAACCACTCTGATGGCGGGTTTGAACCATCTTCTTACTAGCATTTGTTTTAAGCACTGAGATATTCCAGAAGATTTTTTGTCTGTATTAGCACACCTTCCTTCCATAGCCCTTCGGAGGGTCCTGTTTACAAGCCAATCGGGCATGAAAATACCTTCGAACGCGGTTTTGTTAAACACCAGCTAAATTCGTTCAAACAACCGTGCCTTACTGATATTTTATTATTCAGGCTTTGTCTGTATGTAATTCCTCTATTATATTGTCGACGATGAAAAACTCAATTTCCGTTTGGTTTGACATGCAGTAACTTTGCTGCACTTGCAAAGAAAACAGCAGAGTTGATAACTTCGTTTTTAAAGATTTACTTATTCATGACGATGCTGAGCTGATCTGGTTGTAAAAGAGCTGTGGCCTCAAATTAAGATTTCCACAATGAAGTCCCTTAACTCTCTCACTAACCGACATCTATATTTAATACCAAGCACGAGCCCTTTAAAATTTTAAGGTAGCTTCAACAGTAGACATGAACGGCATCGGTGTTGCCAAATGAAGTGTGATTCTGGTATTCAAGAAACATATAATATATAGATTTAGCCAGGGCTAAAAGCGAGGCTCCCATTAGTAAATTTATAATTTAAATTAAACAATAACTTTTATTCGAATTCCACAATTCAGTTGAACTTTAGAGCACATTTATGTGACTTTTGAGGGAAAGGCTACCTGATTTTAGAGAAAAATAATTTGCAAACAGCCCAAGAGTGAACCAAATCTTACATCGAGTTGATAGCCTCATATGTACACCCAAAAACTGGTAATCGTCTTCGATCAAATTTAAGAGCCGTAATGGCTATTGATCACCGTAGATTAATTAGGCCGGGAAAAAAACTCACGCCAACTTTTTTGCGTTCGACAAGTTTACTTTGCAAAATCTTGCCAACAAATCTGGGTGCGTGTAAACCAACCTTTTATACCATGGACAGAAAGCAGTATTTCACAATACAAATTGCACTCAATCAATATTCATAAACTGTTAAAAAAATTTCCAAAATCAACTATACGGCCATGCGGTTCTCACTTTTGTAGTGCGAGCTGTGGCGAGTGTTTGAATGAACATTAACAGAGTTACGCTCCAAGATACCTGCAAGCGATGTTCACTGAACGACTGAAAACAATCGGCACAGCGATTAAAACTAAGACTACTAACAATCAAGCGATTAAGACTACTAACAATCAATAAAAGAAATATAATTCGGTGAAACATATACAGAGACAACAATTTTCATTCAGGAAGACAAGTATTAAAGTGTCCCTAAAGATCCTGAGTCTTCGAGCTTCAAGCTTAAGTTTATGTTTTAAGCCGGCTTCCCGGTGTTTGCTTTTTTCAAAGACGAACTCGAGGCAAGAAAATCGCTCAAAGCTTTCTTTTCCGGCCAGAATTATAACTAAATATTCTTTGGAACGTTTTCTTTCTATTTGCGGTGAGAAACTGTCTAAAGGCTTTTTAAAGTTCTGTAAGATTATATCAAACCTGATACTCGGTGAGATCGTTGTCTCAAATCTTACAAACGTGCATAAACTAAATACCCGCATAAACTACGCTCCACTTCATTAAATTAGATACAAAAAACAAACATCAAATACAATAATTTCTCTGGCTTACCATTCGAGAGGCAGCTCCTGAAAGGTATCAAGTAAAGCCAGTATCGCTTCAGACTTTGCAATCCTCTTACGCATCAAGCAAGGTGAAAACGAAAACGATGCCATCCGAAATCGGATTTCCGACTTTGACAAGCGACGTATTTCTCAACCAAAAACCCAATAAACAAACTAGCCATGAATAACAGAAGATTCCTGATAGCAGCTGAATTTCATTTTGTACATCCAGTGGAAAAAGACAGTTAAAAACATCACACAAAAAAAACTGTTTTTTTTTTTTCCTTACTCCCGGCTATTTTCTTCGAACTCCAGATAACTAGAACTCCCGATAACACAAATTTTTTTCGATTTCCCTTGAAGG